GAATGCCACGACCACCCTTCTGCTGGTCACCTGGGCATCCGGAAGACTCGCAGACGGATTGCCCAACGATATTTCTGGCCGGGATTACATCGAGACGTTGTGCGGTACGTCACCAGCTGCTTGGTTTGCCAACAATACAAGGTGAGTCAACGCAAACCGGCGGGCAAAATGCTCACCCGCCATCCCACGGAGCCATTCGCGCACGTCGGAGCCGATTTCGTTGGATCTCTCCCTCGGACCCGACGAGGGAATACCATGCTGCTCGTATATATAGATGTCTTTTCCAAATGGATCGAGATCATCCCCCTAAAGAAGGCCACAGCCGCCCAACTGGAGTTTGGATTTCGGGAAAGGATATGCTTTGGAGCACCCAGGACTTTGATCTGCGACAACGGCACGCAGTTCACCAGCCGCGGTTTCAAGACATTCTGTCGCACTAACGGCATCAAACTGGAATACACAGCTCCCTATTCCCCGCAGCAGAACCCCACCGAACGGGCAAACCGGACCATCAAAACAATGATAGCCCAGTACGTGGACCAGGATCACAGGACATGGAATCAGCTACTGCCAGAGATCTCGCTGGCCATAAACACGAGCATCTCAGATAGCACCGGTTTCAGCCCCGCCTATCTGGTGCAGGGTAGGGAACCCAGATTGCCAGGAGCCCTCTTTGATGTGGTCACGCCTGGTCTACACTCGTCGCCGTTGGACCCCACTGAGCGAGCTAAACGACTTCAGGAAGCTTTCCGCACTGCGCTGGAAACCAACCAGATGGCCTCTCAGGAACAAGGCCGCCACTACAATTGGCGACGTCGCGAGTGGAGACCCCAGCTCGGATCACAGGTTATGGTCCGCCTTCACCACCTGTCAAAGGCCAGAGAAGGCTTTAACGCGAAGCTTGCTCCTAAGTACTCGGGGCCATTTAAGGTGCTAAAGTTCCTCTCCCCGAATATCGCCAGGATACAACATATGAAAAACAGGAAGAGGCGAACAGCAGGAGTAGGTGACCTGAAGGAGTACCACCAACGCAGTGACCAACTAGGGGACCCGGAAGAAGCCACCGGAGAGAGCGCGTGCCCAACATAAGGGAGTCGACGAATGTACCCAAAGCATCGTAGTAATAACTTTAGTAGAAAACTAGGTTAAGCTGAGAGTTGTACCCACTAGATAAGTCGATCCTCGCCCTCAGGCAGGGCAAGTAAGGAACGTAGGCCTAGGCTAATTTTCTAGCAATCTACAGATCGGAACTACAACAACAGGATGGAGCCCTTCTACCCAAACTTCGTCGCAGGGGTCTACCAACCGGTTGACCACCATGACTCGGACATGGATACCAACGACGGCGCACCCCCAGCCGGGACTCGGCCCTGTCAGACCGGAGCCCCGTCGTTACGCAACGAAGGCAATATATTTAAGTTCAAACTAGAAGCTAAGCTTATCAGATTTAAATATCGCGCGCACCAGGGCTGGAAAACCACCCAGTGTTGGTCAACCGAGGGCCAACAGCTAGTGCCGATAGCGATAGGCGGGGGATCGATAAGAAACTGTGTTGGGAAACGGAAAAACCCGGCAAACCGAGCTTACATGCGGCCGCAAGGGCGGAAGCTCGACCTCATTCCCGAATGGCAGAAAAGGCGACCAGACCTAGGAGCGGACTTCAACCCGGAGTGGTACAGCGGTACGAGCGTCGGCACGCCGGATCCAAGGAGTAAGTGGGACAGACAATAGAGATCAGACTGAGTGCGAGTAGGGGACTAGGAAAATAACTTGTAAAACTAGCGAGTAATAAAGACAAGAGAGAATGAAGAAGTATGTGTCCGTGTGAATTTGTGCATTTTTCGGGAACCCACGTGCAGTGATTTGTGCCGGTCGGGAATCGTGTTGCGCCAGAGAAGCTTACTCAGTGCAAACGACCACCCGATCGCCCACAAGGAGCATAGGAAAGGATCGCCTCTGGCCACCCTCTCCTGGGAACCCCGCCCCAAATACGGTTTAGGTAGTCGCGAGCCACGTGCAGTGATTTGTGCCGGTCGGGAATCGTGTTGCGCCAGAGAAGCTTACTCAGTGCAAACGACCACCCGATCGCCCACAAGGAGCATAGGAAAGGATCGCCTCTGGCCACCCTCTCCTGGGAACCCCGCCCCAAATACGGTTTAGGAAGTCGCGAGTCACGTGCAGTGATTTGTGCCGGTCGGGAATCGTGTTGCGCCAGAGAAGCTTACTCAGTGCAAACGACCACCCGATCGCCCACAAGGAGCATAGGAAAGGATCGCCTCTGGCCACCCTCTCCTGGGAACCCCGCCCCAAATACGGTTTAGGTAGTCGCGAGCCACGTGCAGTGATCTGTGCCGGTCGGGAATCGTGTTGCGCCAGAGAAGCTTACTCAGTGCAAACGACCACTCGAGCGACCACAGGGAGCACAGGGAAGGGTCGCCTCCGGCCATCCTCCCCTCGGATCCCTACCCCCTACCCCAGTAGCCTGTGAGTCGCACATCCAGGGGGAACGGCCACGCCGTCCAGTTTTGTTGGTATTTTCTCAGGGATCGGCTACGCCGCTCGTTTCGTTAGTATTTTCGCCGGGAGCAGCCCGGCCCTCCACTATACCTTTCGGGTGCCGTGTTGCGCTAGAGCTGCTTACTCGGTGCAACGCGGATACTCTGGCCTCCTTTCCCCACAAATCCCCGCGGCAACTCCCCGTCCAGTTTCGTCCCAATATTTTTCTACAAATTTAACTGTAGAGGACCCTGGCCGGACTGAGTTTTATCCCAGCCTATGAAAAAGGTCCTTACACTGTTACATACTTTCCGACGAATCGAGTATACCCTTTTACTCTACGAGTAACGGGAAGTCTTCCGGGACAAAGCTTCGTACTTGGCACTTATGTATCCTCGAAATAGAATCCAGCGTTGCTAGATATAGCTTCTAAAAACAACCCGTAACGGGTGGGTAGAGGTCAAAAGTTGAGGAACCTAGGAACCTAATACTCTTTAAACGTTTTCGAGAAAAAAAAAATTTTTTAACCGGAATACCAGTTGTGACTAGCGCTGTAATTTATAAGTTTTAAAACTTGTAGCGTTAGGAAGCCTAAAACAATAAATAATAATAATAATAATAATATAAAAAAACTCTTGCCCATAATTTTTAGTCGATGATATTAAGACAAATCATTTTAGAAAAGCATACACAGTAATTAAAAATATCTTTCTAGCGACATAACCCTGTAGCTTTATAAGCTCACAAGTTACGGGTCTACAAAGTTTAGCTATTTATAGCTGTTTCCCGGCAAACTAGCGAGTTTTTCCAAAAGTGGTATAACTTAAGTTTTTTATATTAAGCTGTTCAACGTCATCATACATTTACAGGACCCTAAAGTAATGTTTTGCGACAAACTGACAAAATAAAATAAAATTTTCATTTTGAGAAGTCCCTCAAAATTTGTTTTGTGTAAACCTTTTGAGCGGAAGAATCGGATTTTAACAAATGTGGTGTCATTCGAAGCGTATTTTAAGTAAAAATACAACTAGACTAATAAACTAGTGCATTTATGCCCAACGGCCCCAACAGATCAAATTTTAGACACGTAAAAATCAACTGTTCAAGTTGTAAAGAATTTAACTTACCTCATGGTTTTTTAATAATAATTATGGTAACTCTTATCGATATTTCACTCATCGATACACGACAGCAGCATTAGATCATGTACTACGAAAGGTAGCGTATTATTTTTACGCTCCATTTTTACTGATCATGAGCAAGAATTTTTGCACGGCGGTGGCTGTGAAATTGAAGGGTAATAGGAAAGAACGCAGCCACAGTCATATTAAAGCATGAGTAGATCAGATAAATCAAAGCAAGCTATAATAATATATAAGCGTTGAAATTGTGCTTTCAGATTTTTGAATTTTTAGATATTTTATTCAGTTTTGTACCCGTTACAACAGTCAGCTCAAGCATTGGGTTTTGTAAGCTTTAAGATAAAGTAACTGCAGAAGTTACTGGAAACGAAGTACACATGCAGTAAACGTGCTAACATATTTCGGCCGTGGTTTACTTGAGATAATGAAATTTCAAGCCAATTGTCAAGTAAATCATCGTGCGCCGAGGGTATTAATATATTGAAAGTTTCGACGTTGGGCCACGTCGCCTTAGATATATTAAAGTCACCAGAAACTATTATGTGATCCCTATCTGATAGGATATTTGAAATAGTCTGGATTATGGACAGGTGATTCGCATAGTTGTTTACTTGGAAAACTAACTTCGGAACTAAGAATATCCGGTTTTAAACAGGTTTTGCTAAACACAATAACATGGGAAGACAGCGAGAAACGATATTTGTGCAAATTAGTCAGCTTACTTAGTAAACCTCTTGAATTCTAATAGGAAGGCATTGAATAGAAGAAGTATAGGGCGCTGTGGATGGCTCTTTAGAGGCATTTCCAACTTCCTTTAAACGAATTTCTTTTTTTTAGCTTCGTACTCTTTAAGAAATATTCCTTTTGGCAGAGCACATAGTGGCAAAATGAGCAAAAGGAATACCGATCTTAAATAATGATATTTTCCTAGCAAATGGGCAGTGCTTTTACAAACCGAGCACCTTTAGTGGGTGAATTTTTAAATTGCTAGAAATTTTTTTAACATTATTTTTTAGCTACATTTTTTTAAAACTTCCTAAAAATCTCGAAATTTCTATAAAAACCTCTTTTAGAACATCTGTATCTCCAGCTGTAGTAATTCGAATCACTTCGTTTGTTTTATATTTATTTCTCTAAAACATTCTGATACACTTATTTATCGAATAGTAAATGTATAAAAGTTTTAGGCAAATAAATAATGTGACACAAATAAAGGTATTTGGTTTTTAAAGGAACGACACAGATACCATAAATTATGTTAAATCATGACGTGAACAATAAAGTTAAAAAAATGTAAACAAAATGTAAAAAATTAGTCGTAATATTTTCAGCATGTGAATAAATTAAATTTATTGTATTTACCAAACCTTCCGGTGCGGCCAATTCGATGTAGGTAAGTTTCACAGTCAGCGTTGCCTCTAACGTCAACCGGCAAATCAAAATTGACGACAATTGTAACTTGCTCAATGTCAATGCCTAAAAAGATGATACGATTTGTAACATTTTTAACTGAGGAATATCGAACAAATACCTCTTGATAAAACATTTGTTGTTATTAATACTTTTTCAAGTCCAGAACGGAACCGGTCTAAGACAGCAAGTCTCTGTTCAACAGTCAGATCACCAGAAAGCACAGCAACAGAATGACCGTCCGATGTCATTTTCGCTGCAAGCCAAGCAGCAGTTCTACGTGTCTAAAATACATACGATAATTTTTTATTGAATTATTATTAACAGCATTAATTATTAAAAATTTGACTTTACGTCAAAAAACTCTGATATTAAATAAGAATAGCGATTCAATATTTATACCCGTTACTCGTAGAGTAAAAGGGTATACTAGATTCGTCGGAAAGTATGTAACAGGCAGAAGGAAGCGTTTCCGACCCCATAAAGTATATATATTCTTGATCAGGATCACTAGCCGAGTCGATCTAGCCATGTCCGTCTGTCCGTCTGTCCGTCTGTCTGTCCGGATGAACGCTGAGATCTCGGAAACTATGAGAGCTAGGCTATTGAGATTTGGCGTACAGATTCCTGAGCTTCTTACGCAGCGCAAGTTTGTTTCAGTAGACTGCCACGCCCACTCTAACGCCCACAAACCGCCCAAAACTGTAACTCCAACAGTTTTGATGCTAGATAAAAAATTTTAACTGAAATGTATTGTTCTCATCAATACCTATCGATTGACCTAAAAAAAAGTTTGCCACGCCCACTTAAACGCCCACAAACCGCGAAAGCCTGTGACGCCCACAATTTGCATGCTACATAAAAAATTTTAACTGAAATGTATTGGTGTCGTCAATACCTATCGATTTATCCAAAAATAAATTTGCCACGCCCACTCTAACGCCTATAACGCTTAAATCTGTCTACCGCCGGTAGGTGGCGCATTTTAATCTCGCTTTGCTGCTTGCATATCTCCATTTAGCTGAGTAACGGGTATCTGATAGTCGAGGTACTCGACTATAGCGTTCTTCCTTGTTTTTTTATAATTTTACACATATGTTTGGCATTTCATGTGCGTTTTCACAGTAAGCACGTTTGTCTGTTTTTTTAATGCGAAACATTCGAAAAAATTAAAGTTACACATCAATAGTCTGCGTGCAACTTAGAAAATCCATGTTCATGCGGTCAATGCATTGCTACTTTGGCACGAAACCGGTACCATACCGGATAAACTTATAAAATTTTCCTTTATCTCAATAAAATGGATTGCCTAACTCCATTTTGAGGGGATAAACACCGTTTAAATGGAAAAATGGCTGAAAGATCCACAGGGTCTTTATGAATAATTTTTTTCCTACACAAATTTTAGGAGCGCATAGTTTGTCATTAAGCCAGTTAAAAAATGGGAACACGTAAAAATATTTGGTGCAATGCAAAAGGTGCAGAACATTAATAAAGTATAAGCTCACGAACAATAAGTTAAGGTATCGGAAAGGTTTTCTAAGTCCGCATTGGAAGCTGCATCCAATTAATAATCCACAGAAAAGGAAGCTAGCTTCGGCAAGCCCCTTCGTTCCTGTGGGAGAAATGTATATACAGAGCTTTCCAAATTTTAGAAAGTTAAAAATAATTAAGGAAATTTACTAACGTATACGGTTTGTCGAGAACGAACTATAACAATTGTTGTATTTTTTGTTATTTATTTTTGCGGTATTTCCTATGGCGCTCTGCAAGGGTATAAAAATTGTGGATCCAGCACAAATTTTTTTTACTTTGCTATTTATGCATTGAATTGGATACTAACAATAAGTGTATCAAATCTTATAGTAATAACTAACAGTCATAAGACTAGAATTGAGTTAAGGAGCCCAGAAATGTATTGCTGAATTTGGAGGTCGTCGCGTTGTAGGATGGAAATCCGAGCCAAGCCTCTTACGAGACGATTTGGGAGCCCAGAGATTTTTTTTATTGTACAACGCTTTTTGTTTGTCTATTTCATCTCTTACAGCAAGAATGCCGAAGTCCCTGGGGATGTTTTGGTTGGGGGTATCGATTGTGCTCGCTGTAGAATTTCTGTTCCTGCTGCTCGCGTTCCCCCATAGCTGGGAGCCATTTGTCCAGAGCGACTTGAGAGTGGAGTTGTAGAGCAGGACCTTGTAGTCCATGCGTTGGGGCGAACGAGCGTTTGAGATCTAGTGGAAGCTGCTGGCTTTTAGTTTTAGATGTACTTTCTTGCGTTCGATGTGTCTTCTTCAGGTTAGTCGTCTGTCAAGATGGACACAGAGATACTTTACTAGAATTTGGGAATCTGCGTACTATTCAATGCTAGTGGAGGGCGTGTTTGCCATTTACATTTTTGTTCATTAACTTTAATACGCCAGGCAGATAGCCACATCTCTACTATGAGGAGGTGATTGGCTAGCGGTGTTGTTGCTCGGCCTGGGCACCTCGAGCGACTTAGGATTGCGGTGTTGTCAGCGAACGTAGATGTTGTCAGCTGCTCTTTCGAAGGAATGTTCGCTGTGTATAGGAGGAACGGACTAGGCCCTAGTGCGCTTCCTGGCGGGACTTCAGCTTCGATAATGTAGTCGTCAGATGTTGTTGTGTTACACCTTACTGCGAAGACTCTGTTGTAGAGATACGACCCAAGTAGCTTGTGAATGTAATCAGGCAAGTGTGTTTTGATTTTGTGCATGAGGCTTTCGAGCCATATTTGACCGAAGGCTTGAGATACATCGAGGAATATTGCGCTGCAGTATTCCCGATGCTCAAAGGCTGTGCTGATTCCTAATGTTATTCTGTTAACTTGTTCGATTGCTACATGGTTTTGATGGAAGCCGAGTTGATGAACCGGGATAACATTGTGTGCTCCTAGATATGGTATTATGCGAGTTAGAAGACATTTTTCGAACAACTTAGACAGACACGATAATAAACTAATTGGTCTGTAGGATGACGGCATTGTGTGGTCTTTTCCGGGCTTCGGTAATGATTTTTGATTTTTTTTATGATAATAGATTTTTCAATTTTCTCGGATAGTTGCCGAGATTTATGATCCCATTGAAGAGCTTGCAAATAAACTCAATAGCAGAGTTTGGAAGGGCCTTTTTCGGTATCAGTTCTCCGATGACTTCCGCGAACTCCATTGGCTGAAACAATGTTGGTAAGGAAATAGTTTCAGATTTGATTTGTGGTAGGACAAATGGACCAGTGGCAGGGTTCGGCTAGAAGAAGATTCGGTTCTATTTTTGTCGATGCGGACCCAGCTACCTGACGAATTTCTTATCGAAGTGCCGGATTCGCATCTTCTGTGGAGAGCTCAGATTTAGATGAGATTTGGAGCCTCATGGTTTTTCGTAGATTTGCGATCAATTACTTGGACTGCTTTGCTACAAGCAGCTGTTATACCATGCTCTGGTTTTGAACCTGTGTTTTCATGGTCGTTTTCATGAAGGCGACAATACTTTGTTGCATGGTAACCATCATAGCTTCCAGTGTGCTTTGTGACTAAACTGGGACCTGATCGAAGGGCATCGGCGTATGAAAAGCACTTCTGGGTATTCAACTGACCAAATGAGGATCTTGCAGCCATTTCGAATAATACTTCCGGCGTCCAGCGCATTCGAGATATTCTCTCTTATGTAAATTGGTGGGAGCTTTGGTTTCGGTTGAGTCTCTTGACCCAGTTCTGGTACATTTTCTGCTAAAAGGGCAAAGCTGTTATTGTTAGATCTCCCTTGTTATTTATTGTCTATTTGGACATGGTTTATTATACCCATTACTCGTAGAGTAATTCATCGGAAAGTATGTAACACCTAGCAGGAAGCGTTTCCGACCCCACAAAGTATTTATATTCTTGATCAGGATCACTAGCCGAGTCGATCTAGCCATGTCCGCCTGTCCGTATGAACGCTGTGATCTCGGAAACTATAAGAGGTGCAATACTGGGATTAGGCATGCATATTCTAGAGACTCCTGCGCACCGCAAGATTCGTCCGTGTGCCAAACCCTTTCTAACGCCCACAAAACGCCCAAAACTGTGGCTCCTACAGTTTTAATGCTAGAATAAAGTTTTTAATGAAATGTATTGTACTCATCAATACCTATCGATTGACTAAAATTGATTGACCCACTTTAACGCCACAAACTTCAAAAAATCGTACATGTGAACGCGGATATCTCAGAAACTGTCAAATATAGAGAATTGGGATCTCAGATTTAGATTCCGTAGCCTTGTAAGTAGCACAAATTTGTTACGCCGCCCACAATTTTTAAGCCAGAAAAAAAAAATGTGATTGATTGACCCTAAAAAAAGTTTGCCACGCCCACTCTAACGTCCATAACACTTAAATCTGTCTGCCGCCCACATAACCATATACTGAGATCGCGGGTAAGTGGCGCATTACAATCTCGTTTTTCTGCTTTTATATCTCCATCTCCCTTTACTCCCTTTAGCTGAGTAACGGGTACCTGATAGTCAAGGTACTCGATTGGAGCGTTCTTTCTTGTTTTTGACTTGTTACCTACCGCGGTGTTCTGCGGACTAAGCACTGATAACTCCACGACGACCGAGTAGGAGTAAGAGTAAGTAGAGAGGGTGAGCAAGACCGTGCTCTTTGGCTATTGACCGTCAGTAGGGTCCTTTCATGCACTTCGCTATCGCGCATTGATACATAGGAAAAAAACAAGTCTTTTCGGCTCACGGAGCTTAGTAGCTCTTTTTTTTGGTTTGTCGCTCATTGAGCTTTTAGCGTGGCACTTATTTATTATTATAAAATATACACATGTAAATCGAGCCACGAATGAAAAAGAAATTTAATTGAATTTCTTGGTTACTCTATCGGAGGTTGAAAGAGGGAGAGAACGTTATAGTGCAAGGGAGATGGAGATATGCAAGTAGCAACGGGGCTGTTCTCAAGATTGCACACCCGCCCCTGCGCCACCTATCCCATTTAAACTTTAACAACATTTTTGAATATGTGGGTGCTACATTGGTTTTTACGTTAAAGTGGACGAGGTACCCTGCTGAAATAAGCTTGCACTGCGCAAGATCCTCAAGCATCAGCATGCCAAATCCCAACCTTATAGCGTTTCCGAGACGGACGGACTGAAAGACATGGCTAGATCGACTCGGCTAGTGATCCTGATCATCAATATATATATATATATACGGTCTGAAACTCTACCTTCTACCTGACTTTCAGACAAACCTATTATACCAATTTACTGAAATAAACTTGGGCTG